ATGAAGGACCATGCGTGCCTTTTTCACAGACGAGAAACCACCAAGGTCGGACGCCTCTCCACTTGGCAGTGATTGACGGCCACAGCGAAGTGACACAGAGGCTCCTGGACGCCCGTGCGGATGTGCACGCCATGACCGATGCAGGCGCGACGCGGCCCGGGCGGGGCCGGTTCATGTTCATGCGGCCTTTGTTTGTGCCCTATCGGACGGCAAACACTTCAAATAACGTCGAACTTGTTCCAAGACTCTTTGAACATTTGTGTAAACAAAACAAAAATTTGGTCTTAACAACATGTGTCTGATCAGTCCCTCCTCTTGGTCCGACCATGGCGGCCAAAGGTTCCGAAGCCCTGACCAACACTATGCCTCACGTGGCTCAGGTACTATGCCTCTACACGCAGCAGTGCGATACGGCCACCTTGATGTGGTTCAGCAGCTGGTGGATGCAAAGGCAGACCTCGAGGCCAAGGCTGATGGAGGCGCAGCGGGTGAGTGGACAGAGCTCGACAGTTATGCTCCAGCTGGGGTATAGAGCTCGTTTACCGATACTTTCCAGGTACTTCAAGCTGTTTGCGCCCTGTTCCTTCAGGATCCTTCAGGTTCTAGCATCGTCTTGCAGACAGGTTGTGTAGGCGTTGGGTGAGTACGGCCACGCCGCTGGCACAAGCGGTGTACACGTGAAGGCGTCTGCCGTGCCCTCGAGGTTTCGGACCCCTCAAAGGATCTTGTTCATGTACTCGGACCCCTCCATGTTGTTATCGCACAGAGAGAATGCCACAAAAAGCTGATGACAGATCTTCCGGGACCTTCGGACAGCATGGGATGTATAGCTGAGCTTCTTTCATGTGCTGGGACTCTTTTTCCGATCTTTGGCACTCAGACGCACCACCTCCAGACTTCTGGCAGACAACCGGACATGTGAAGGAGCTTCTATCGGCTTCAGGGTGGTGCACTCTGACACACCCCAAAGGTGTCGCACCTATAAAAAACACCTATAGCTGAAACGTCGAATACATGGGTGCCACCGGTTTGACTTCGGAAGCCCAATCATCTTGACAAATCTTACCCACACGGGAGCCATCTCAACCCCTTTCGCAGCTTCCCGCAGTTTTTTCTCCATCTTCTCATCACGGCCATTTGGGAGGTTGGACACCCCTCCATTTGGCGGCCAACAATGGCCAGTTGGATGTGGCACGACAGCTCGTAGCAGCCGGTGCCAATGTTGAGGCGATGGACGACAAAGGCGTCCGAGAGCTGGGGATGAAGGGAAGTTTCTTGGAACCATGGCCCCAAGTGGCCCCTGCCTCAAACTTTCTATATTAGAACCATCAATCATTAGAACATATCAGAACCATTATAGTTGCATGGAAGTTTCTTGCAAACCCCAAGCGGCCCAAAGGGCCATCGCTTCCTTTCTTCCTTTTAGTGTGGCTCTTCGCTAGCGATGGCCCCCAAGGCGGCCATCCCAAAGGAGCGTTCGTCTAGCGATGGCTTGGAGGTCTCTCAGCTACCTGCTGTAGTAGATCCCATTCGAAAGCGGAGCGATTTGGAAGGCCGAAGACGTCAAAGCGCCCCCCCGCCTTGTGCCAACCAGAGTGCAGGTGAAACGGCATGGGATATCGCCACGCAGCGACGGACGACAGGATGGCGGGTGTTTTACGTCCCGTTCCTTGGCTGCCGGAGATGGTGACCAGTCAGGGGGGTGCTTTGAGACTGGATGAGGCTGGGAAATATGAGGTTGTTGACATGTTTGGATCTGGATCTTGACCCTTTCATACCCATTTCTTCTTTTTGTTGGCCTCTTAGGGCTTTGCACTTAGGTCAGAGTGTCGCTGATGAGTGGCCATGAAGTTCTGTGCAGCTTGGCTACAAGTTTGTTGGAAGAACAGGATGTTCTGTCTCGACTTTTTTTTGAAACCGTGATCCTGTTTGATTGGTGATATGATACAGATTGATACAGTAATGTTAATAGTTTAATTAATAGCACCAATATTGATGTTTGCATGAGTTGAGGTTCCAATGATATGGCATCTATTTTGTTTGGTCGGTTGGATACCGGCAGCATCAGGCATATTCATGCTCATCCGGACCCTCTATATTACAATTTTGAACATTTTGAACAATCAAACCTGATTCTTTGTGGGTCACATTCAGATTTGTGTTCTTCCTACTGGTCACCAAGATGACCAAGTTTTAGCTTGCCAGCCGTGACTTGCTACAGTATTGGACAGCTACCCAGGTGACTATGTGGCTGACCAAAGGATCAGTGAATTGAGAGAAGATGCCCAGCAACTTGGCACCAGCCGGAGCTTCGAGACTTGGTGATCATTTTTGTCCGGTTCACAGTTCACACCTGATCTGCCAAGAAATATCTCAGCCATGTGTTTAAGTCAGATAGAACAAAAGGTAGATGAGGGTCCAAGTTCGAACACACTCTTGAGTTACGAGTCAAAACAATGTCCTAACATCGAGCATGGAGAACCAAATTTGGAGCCTTTGCTGCGCTGCATGGAGATCGGTGCCGCCCGTGCGCTGCTGTTGAAGTCGAACCCAGGTCCAAGCTTGGGAGGAAGATCCAGATCGGGAAGCTCATCACAAGCTGTGGCGACACTTTGCATCTTCTGCGCGTTTGCTCGCTTTTGTTGCGGCCAAATAGCCATTCAGCACATACTCAAAATTTGTGTGAGCACAGGTGTGTGAGCACAAGTGCGGCTAAGACCACTCAAGTTCCATCAAACCTCAAGATACTGTAGGATTGGGCAGATGGGAGTGTGCAAGGAAGACTAGGACTTAGGATTTTCCTCGTTCACTGATCCTGACGAGGGTGGCGGGCTGGAATTTTGGAGTTTGGGAATGTTTGAAGTACTTCTGCAACTTTGTGACGTTCGTAGCTTCTTGTTAGTATGGCCAGGAGCTATGTGCTAGTCGCGTCCGATCGCTCCGTTCGAGACGCGATGCCCCTTTGTTCCAGCCGTTGGATCCCTCCCAGTGGCCCTTTTTCTGAGCACAGCACTCATCCATGCTGCGGGGAAGACGTCTCATGCGGGGAAGACGACGAAAATGAGCGTGGTTGGAAAGTAGAACACGTCCAATATAAAATAGCTTGTCATATAATTACTCATGAATACTCCAAATTTCCTACCTATATTTCGTTTTTTGAATTCTTGTTTGATCATGGTAGCAGGGGCCCCCCTTTGCCAGCCTTTGCAGCCAGGCCGGACCATATGACTCTGAAGGAGGCTGGCATCCAGTACGGGGAGTCCGTGACTGCCATCGCTGAGGCCCTGCGAAGACACGCGCAGACAAGCGGTCGGAGCGACCTTCAACGGTTTGGATCGGCGGCGATGCACATGTCCGGAAGATGGGCAGCGATGTTGGTCGATCTTATGGGGAAGAGATCTCATGTTCAGTGTTTGAAGGATCATAGAATATGTTTGTTTGACATGTGCGCTACAATCAGGAAGGAAAGGCCTGCTTGTAGATTTGTCCATCCAAGCTGTAGGGAGTTCATGATGTATACTCTGTACTAGTAGAACCTCCATCCCAAAAAGACAAAATATAACGTCCAAGGACTGACTCCTCTCTTTCTTCGGACCCTCGGGCGGGCCGCACGGAGGTCGCCTGTGCCGGTGCCGAGGTCGGAGAGGTCGGAGGGGAGTTGGACGCCGCCCGCACCTGGCGCAGCGGCTCGGAGGTCCAGGGTGGACGTGGCATGGGGGACGAACTCCGGGTGCCGAATGCCGGGTGTGGAGGATGTAGGAGCAACTCCAAAAACAGCCACTTTTCAGTCAGGGCGTCGTGGATGAGTGGTGAAGTGCAGATGGATTCAGTCACGCAAGATAAGACTGTTCAGATCGTTTTGGAGTGGTCTTGTCCCGGGTGCAGAATGTAAGAGATCTATAGGCCTATAATGGCCTGTATGGATAGGATAGGGCTTCAACATTTAGCTGGGTGTGAAGCCTGGGAAGGTTTGATTACAATATATATTTGGATCCTGCTTTGGGCTAAAAAAAGTGCCGGACCTCAATCCGGCAACATTTTCCGCCGGATTCCGCAAAAAAAACACCGAGAACCTGAAAAAGCATCCGGATCCAAGATTCTGAAAATAAACAGAGATGATGAAAGGTTGGATCATACACGAGCAAACTGCCTTTGCGCCACGAGTAGTTTTGAACACACTCATTCCACAACCCGATCGCTGCAGCCTTCTCATTCCCCTTTCCGAAATGCCTAAGAGCAGAACAGTCACAAAATATAAGCAAACGTGTGCCCAAGCAAAGACGTCCAAAAACAAACCAAGGAGTATGTGGCTAGGAACCTTTCTTTCTCTGCAACCGTGTCTTTAAAGCTCTTTTACAAGGTGGGTTGCTTTCCAGCATTTTTGGCGTTTGCCTCAAGACCTCGACCCCCTAATAAACGCAGTAGCAGAACTCAAGGTTCCAGTCAAAACCTTCAAGATTCAAAACCTTCAACAGACTGAGTCCGGAAAATTACACCGGAGTACGGGAAATTACGCCGGATTTACGGAACATTACGCCGGAGTTACGGGAATTTTCGCCGGAGTTACGACGCGCCTTTTTTTGAGCAACTCTCTGCAAAACATTGAGATTCTGAACAACACACGTTCCACAACCCAAAACTTGTCCAGCAGGCTCTGCAAACCTGCGTAGCTAGAACTATTTCCCAGCGCCCCGACATCCTGAAACAATAGGAATACATTATCGCCTATGTTCTTTCAGCTTAGGTACACCCACTTGCGTCTTTCAACACGTGCATCGCACTGTATCGATCTCATGTAGAAGATCAGCTAAACGATCTGATTGAGCCAGTGTGAACCACTGCTGAAACCGGTGGAATGAGAAAGCAGCGGAACAGGCAAACGAGCACACGCTCAAGCAAACTTATTTGTCAGTAGTGGATTTACCGTCAAAGAAATGCGGACCACAAAGAATGCAAAGCCTTGAGAATCCACATAAAGTGACTTGGAAAAACTGCCGGACCAAATCCAGAAAAACGCCGGAGTTGGGCGTTGGGAGTCCGGCGCCGGACCCTGTAAAAGTGCCAGACTGAAGAATATATAAATGAGACTCAGGATTAGCAGTGTTCTTTGATTGTTTGAGGCAAGTACGACCTGCAAGACCCCCGCAAGCTCATCCAGTTCCTCTTGGATGCAAACATCGCTTTGGTGCGACTGGAGTACTTACATGAGCTTCTAGCCACAGGCCGAAGGTTCCTTCGCAGGCAAGAGGCGGAAGCTGAGTTGACAGCTGCTGGTCTTCCTGCACTTGTTGGACCATCAGAGCTGGAGAGGGTGGAGATTGATACCATTGGCAACCTCAGCATCTATGTCAAAGACCCTTCACCCCACAGAGTCACTGTGCTGATCGAATCGATTTCTCATCCCTGGGAGAGCATGGAGCATCCAGACCCACATGGCTTTCAGCTCCAGCAGATCGTCCAAATGTGTCCGCCCCTGACGTCGACGCATTCCATCTGGGTGTTTTATGATTTCATTTCCCTCTATCAGTACGGTGGCCGAACTAGGCCTCAGGAGAAATGTTTCAGAGAAGCTTTGGAGCACATGCACACGTTGTACGCCCATGAGGCTACGAAAGTCCGGATAGTGGATGAGCTCACTCCTGAGACGTGGAAGCGTCCAGGAACTGTAGAGGTCTTTTCAGGGCAGGCAGGACGCGTCATACCCGTCTTTGTTGACCAACTCAAGGCCAATCCAACACCTTACTCTCAGAGAGGCTGGTGCCAGGCAGAGCTCCAGTGGTCCAGCTTAAGGATGTCATTGGACACTGGGACTGTGCCTATGGAACCGGGACTCTTTCGTGAAAAAATGGAGGAGCAAGGGTTGCGTTTTACCCACCATGATGACAAAGAACTCGTCATGAAGCTTCAGGCTCAAGTCTTTGCGGAGAAGGTCTTGACCACCCGGCAGTTGATGGCTGAAAACTTGGATGAGGATGCTCTCAACGTCCTTTGTGCTGCTTTGCCATTCTACGCAGATTTAGATGAGATTGTCGTCACTGGCAATCTCCTGTCCAGGAATGCAGCTGTGGCAGTCGCCAATACGAACGCACGTTCGTACCAAATGGAGTCTTGCGGACTTGAAGATGATGATGTGCAAGAGATTGTGGCAAGATTGCTTCATAGCGACAAGGTGGAGAAACTCCAGGTAGCCCAAAACAACATTGGGCCCAGAGGACTTCAAGTCTTGAGAGAGCTGGTGGAGGCCAAACCTGATCTCTACATCGATGTGTTGGCTGGTTGAGGCTCAAGTCGTACCCGTAGACCGAGGATTATTGAATTATGAATTCGATCCCAATAAATAAATATAAACGGATGTAAAGATATTATTTATAGATGCAAGGAATATTACCATTTGAAAAAAAGAAATATAATAATTATTATATTAATTATAATCGATTGGAATTGGAAATATTAATTAGATTTATATAAAGGAACTTTATTATTATATTATATAAATAAATAATTCGATATAAATATATTATATTTTTTTTTTTAATATAATTATAAAGAATAATTAAATTGTATTTTTTAGATTAATTTATTGATATATATTTTAATTAATTTAAATAAAAATTATAAAAATGCATCGAACAATTAATATATTAATGCATTATATATATAATTAAATTAATTATATTAAATTACATAAATATAAAATATAAAAAACAATATTTTTGGAAAGATATTATAATTATATATAGAAATTTTATGATAATTTTCAAAATAACGAAGTTATGGAATTTTTATTTTAAATAATTCTTTAAATAACGAAATTATGAATTTTTATTTTAAATACTTAAGAATGAGGTGCTCGCGCGTGCTTTCGAGGCAGCCGGTGGCTGTGTACGTGGGGGAAATAGGTTGCTGGTGGTGGTGCCTGGCGCCGGTGGAGATAGGTTGTTGGTGTCGGGTGCTGGTGCTGGTGGTATAGTTTGCATATATGTGGCGATTTTTTTTGCCTAGATAGTAAAATTATGGAGCTTTTATTTCAAATAAGAATGAGTTGCTTGCGTGCGCTTTCGAGACAGGTTGTCGGTGCTGGTGGGCGGTGGAAATAGGGTGCCGGTGCCGAGCGCTGGTGCGGGCTGTGGTACTGGTGGAGATAGGTTGCTGGTGCTATACCTTGCATATATGGGGCGATTTTTTTTGCCTAGATAGCAAAACTATGGAGTTCTTACTTCAAATAACAATGAATTGTCCGCGCGCTTTCGAGACAGGTTGCCGGTGCTGATGGGCGGTGGAAACAGGGTGCCGGTGCCGAGCACTGGTGCGGATTGTGGTGATGGTGCTGGGTGTTGTGAGTTGGCTGTACACGTGGTGGAGATAGGTTGATGGTGTTGTTGCCGGGTGCCGGTATTGGTGCTGTATACGTGGTGCTGTGAGCTGGCTGTGCACGTGGCGGAGACGGGTTGCTGGTGCCGGGCGGTGGTGCTGGTGGTGGGTGCTGGCTGGG